TAGGGATTACTGTAATAATTATCGAGATAAAAAGAAGATTAAAACTTCTGGAGTTTTACGGTAAAAACGAAAAAGAAATATACAAGTAAAAAACTATCCACTGTTTATTTAATCCTTTTGAAATTGGCTTATTTTAATTTTTAATATTTTCTACAAACATTCCCTGGAATTTCCAAATTAATACACAAGTAGGAACATAACGAAGATAAGTTTATAAAATATTAATTAAACATCTAAAAAAAAACAACAACCAGTAAACTCTGTGGGCTTACTGATGTAATATTTCAATTAAGTATTATAAATTCCAGTTTGTTTATGGCACAAAAAAGACAAATAAATGATTAAGTAATAAATATAAAATATCAGATAAATAAACAAGACTTGGCTATTATTATTGTGGTACATAGGGGATATATGGGACTTGGCGTAGCCAGCGTACAGGGCTACGTATCAGTTGATCCAAGGTAGAAGTCATTATATGCCTCTAAACACGCACAGCTCTTTCAGCTATGTAGACCATATAATTGTCAATCCAACTTATTTGGTTAAGAATAGACGGAGTGCTCTGACAGATAACCTTATTCTTATATCTTCGTAAGGTACTGTTCAGGTTGAAGACATACCAAAAAAAAAAGCTATAGGCACGAGTCAGTTTAAATAAAAAGTGGACCGAGCGTGGCCCAGCGAGTAGTATATCGGACTGAAAACCTCAGGATCTATGGTACACATCCCATTGCCCCAAAAAGTGTCCCACAATTTCGGATCGTGTGTGTCTTACAAATATGACGGTTAAATTCCATTAAAACATTAGAGCAGCCCAAAAAGTTGCATTCTTGGCTTGAACTCTTGTACATTCAGCTCTTGTAAAACTTTGAGATAAAACGTCAACATTTAAATTCAAACAAATACATACGTGTTAAAAAAATAGCAGCTATACAGCTAAACATCATTAATTATCAGCATTTTTCTTTTCAAATTCATAAGAAGGAAATAGTATTTAGCGATGGTAATTTCATTATCCATGACAAAACATTTAATTCAATAAAGATGGAATTTTCATTTTGTCAATTGTAGGTGTAAAACAAACGTGTCATTAAACCTAACTAGTGAGTTTAATAGCTTATAATTTAATATAAAATTCTTTCCATCATACTGTTTCTCTAAAGCCCTTCTTCAAAGTATCATTACATGTAACAGTAATTTACAGGATTTATTAAATCTGTAATATCATCACATTCCACTTCAGTTACAAAATTCAATTAGAACCTATGTACTAAAAGATTTAAAAAAATAAATGTCGATTTACTGGCAGAAGCTATTGTTTCGAGTAATAAGAGGCAAATATTGACTTTCAGAACTCGTGTTACATCTTGACAATTTTGATATATTAGCACATGTTAAGAAACAACACATATAAGCACAGAGCAATACAGTATTGAGTATTTCACTAGCCTATCTGTGTCGATTCCAAGGAAAGATGACCAACAGGTATTTATATTATATTAAAAAATAATATTTATTTTCTCCTCTCTTTTTTTCTAAAACAAAATTCATTTAGACTCTCCAACTTTTTAGCTTTAAAAGCTTGTTTGTTATTTGTTTTTAGCACAAAGACTACACCTACTGGGGTATCTCCGCTCTGTCCATCGCGTGAAATCGACCCCCTGATTTTAGCGTTATAAATCCGTTTATTCATCGCTAAGAGCCTGGCATGGTCTGGTGATGTTTAGGGAATTCATCTCGCAAGCTGCAGGTTGCAAGTTTGAACCTCTTCACCAAACGTATTTGCTCGCCAGTCTAGCCGTTAGGGTTTAAATGTGACAGCCAGTCCTACGTTTATTTGGTAAGAGAATAACCCAAGAGGCTGTGTTTGTTTCAGCCTGCTACTGAAGGATATTGGGTTCCATCAAGAGTAGCCACACAGACGACGAGATCTTGGTAAACTGTGTTTGTCTCAGCCTGCTACTGAAGGATATTGTATTCCATCAAGAATAGCCACACAGACGACGAGTCCTTGGTAAACTGTGTTTGTCTCAGCCTGCTGCTGAAGGATATTTAGTTCCATCAAGAATAGCCACACAGACGACGAGATCTTGGTAAACTGTGTTTGTCTCAGCCTGCTGCTGAAGGATATTTAGTTCCATCAAGAATAGCCACACAGACGACGAGATCTTGGTAAACTGTGTTTGTCTCAGCCTGCTACTGAAGGATATTGTGTTCCATCAAGAATAGCCACACAGACGACGAGATCTTGGTAAACTGTGTTTGTCTCAGCCTGCTACTGAAGGATATCTTACACAACTAACAACAATAATGATTATTCGTCCAAGATTACGTTTGCTATTTTATCAACAAGTAATCATTCCTTGTTTCAAATATTCACAGCTATCTTCCAAAAATAGCGCATCAGATGATTCAGAGTGTAATCCAAATTAATTTTTACAGGAATTAAGTGTATAAAGAACTAAAGACATTCTGACAACACTACTCAGGAAAATCCTTACTGCGTAAGAAAACATTTTCATTCTTAGCAGTTCTAAGTCAGAATTATTTTGTTTATTAATGAAATGGAAATCCGCTTTGTCTTCCTAAAGCAACGCCTCAAATATTTGATAATAATACTATACATTGGATCTAACGTTATACTCAAATACTAGATACAATTTTCAAGAAGATATAAATGGTCGTAACTAACAAAAGCGTAGATAACTTTCGTAGTTAAGTTATCCTTTATACCTATTTTATGCTCTTGTTAAATAAATAGTTTTTATAAATTATTGTGAAACGTTTCTCGAAAGGGGATAGCACAAACACTGACCTCTCTTTTTTATCTTTGTTATTTCTCTTCTTAAAATTGGTTTACAAATAAGTACATTTTTCCTAAACTCTCAGTACTGGTTGATTATAAAATACCACTACTCTTCACTAACACCTGGTTTGTAGGTTTGTTTTTGTTTTGTTTTGAATTTCGCGCAAGACTACACGAGGGCTATCTGCGCTAGCCAGTCCCTAATTTAGCAGTGTAAGACCAGAGGGAGGGCAACTAGTCATCACCACCCATCGCCAACTCTTGGGCTACTCTTTTACCAACGAATAGTGGGATTGACCATAACATCATAACGGCTGAAAGGGCGAGCATGTTTGGTGTGACGGGGATTTGAACCCGCGACCCGCAGATTGCGAGTCGAGCGCCCTAACCACCTGGTCATGCCAGGCATCTATTTGTAGCTTTCAAGATCCAAAATGTAAAATAGCATATTTTTATAACGAACCAGAAATGATTTCCAAAACAGGAATCTTCCAAATTAAGAAGAGTAATATGTGTATAATAGAACGAGTTTGATATAAAGATTATCTAGTCTAATGGAGCCATTTCTTTCCAGAACCATATAATTGAATGATGTTTTAACGAGTCTAAAGTGAGTTTCTTTTTTCATTCTGGTGCTCTTTGAGTGACATTAAAAATCAACTTTTCACTCAGCGCATCACTATTCTAAGTATCCAAGTATAGAAGTAAAAAAATATATATTAGAAGAAAACTTTCTCCCTAATCGTTATTTTTGAATTAGTGCATCTTATCGTTTTAGTGAATGTCAGTTACTAAAAAATTGAGCACACGTTAAATCAACGTTGTGAGAGTTTGGCGTGAATGGATTACTGAAATAAAATCCATGTTAGCTACTGGATTACGATATCGTACTTATGTAGGTATATTACTCAAATAAAATCTATGTTAGCTACTGGATTACGTTATCGTATTTGTATAGGTGGATTACTCAAATAAAATCTATGTTAGTTACTGGATTACGTTATCGTATTTGTATCAGTGGATAATTCAAATAAAATCTATGTTAGCTACTGGATTATGTTATCGTATTTGTATAGGTGGATTAGTCAAATAAAATCTATGTTAGCTACTGGATTACGTTATTGTATTTGTATAGGTGGATTACTCAAGTAAAATCTATGTTAGCTACTGGATTACGTTATAGTATTTGTAGATGTGGATTACTCAAATAAAATCTATGTTAGCTACTGGATTACGTTATCGTATTTGTATAGGTGGATTACTCAAATAAAATATATATGTTGGCTACTGAATTACGTTATCGTATTTGTATAGGTGGATTACTCAAACAAAATCTATGTTAGTTACTGGATTACGATATCGTATTTGTATTGGTGGATTACTCAAATAAAATCTATGTTAGCTACTGGATTACGTTATCGTATTTGTATAGGTGGATTACTCAAATAAAATCTATGTTAGTTACTGGATTACGATATCGTATTTGTATTGGTGGATTACTCAAATAAAGTCTATGTTAGCTACTGGATTACGTTATCGTATTTGTATAGGTGGATTACTCAAATAAAATTTATGTTAGTTACTGGATTACGTTATCGTATTTGTATAGGTGGATTACTCAAATAAAATCTATGTTAGCTACTGGATTACGTTATCGTATTTGTATTGGTGGATTACTGAAATAAAAGTTATGTTAACTATTGAATTATGTTATCGTATTTGTATAGGTGGATTACTCAAATAAAATTTATGTTAGATATTGAATTATGTTATCGTATTTGTATTGCTAGGTTACTCAAATTAAATCTATGTTAGCTACTGGATTACGTTATAGTATTTGTATAGGTGGATTACTCAAATAAAATCTATGTTGGCTACTGGATTACGTTATCGTATTTGTATAGGTGGATTACTCAAGTAAAATCTATGTTAGCTACTGGATTACGTTATAGTATTTGTATAGGTGGATTATTCAAATAAAATCTATGTTGGCTACTGGATTACGTTATCGTATTTGTATAGAAATATGATTGAATATAGAAGTCGTACAAAACAAAAAAGTAAGAAAGTATAATTTCAAAATTTGACGTTATAGCTTAAAACCCTCGATTTATCACCAGCTTGCTCATGTTATAACGAAACATTATTTTTAGAGCACTCTTTATATATATATATATATAATGTTCTATAGGTGATCCTCCTCCTGCGATAACCTGGTGGCAAGATTCCATCCTGTTAGATGATGACTATATCATTACTCCTCTAAGAATAGCGAGGAACGAATACGTTATTAATGTCCTGCAGAGAGAACAGCTATGGAGCACTCTCACTTGCCAAGCTACTAATACGAACTTCTCGACTCCTGCCTCAAGTTCCATAACATTAGATTTAAACTGTAAGCAGAACATGTTGTTTAAATGTAATTTTTGTAAGTGTCTTGTTCAGTGAATTTTAAGCTTAATACGATATAGTTACATTGTAAGAAAGATGAACAGTATTTAAAAAATGCGTTTAAGAAGCAGGTAAATATATGAGTTATCAATTTATTTATTAAAGCTCAGTAAGTTTGACAAAAACATTCAATCTTCCCTCAACATTTATCAGAAAAAATTGCCTTTAATCTAAACCTTTAATCATGCTTGCCTCAAAGATGAATTGATAAGCCTTTCTTTTTACAATTTGAAGGTAAAATAATAGGTTGTATCTGACAGCAATTATTTAGTATGTTATTATATTGCTGAACAGAACTATTAATCTGATTATCCTGCATGGTTTTGCATGTATATTTATGGTCAAAATAAACTGAAAGAAACTATCACACATACAGTTGAATTTCGGCTACATATTTGTTATTAAAATCATACTACAGAACTTTCCGGACATCCATATCTTTCATTGACAGACGCACAATTTTATGTATTTTTTTGAAGTGAAACCTTTGCACGTCCGCATTACAACGAGACGGCGGCCCTTGTCGGCAGGTCGAAGGGTTGTACTGACGTGCCGATCCAGGGGCTCAAGACCACCTGCTAGAATGACATGGTGGAAAGACGGGAAGAAAATCTTCTCAGCGTCCGCGATAACAACATCAGAAAACATCAGCATCAGTGAGTTGCCTTTTACACCTGAAATCGATGACCACGGGAAGATATTAAGGTGTAGGGCAGATAATCCAGACATCATAAACAGTGCCTTAGAAGATGGATGGAAACTGGATGTCATTTGTAAGCTCTTTCGTAAAAGTTTGTGAAGTACAAATTGATATGTTGAAAATATACGTGCTTGGATTGGTTCTCCTTTCTAGAAATACCAAGAGATTTGCTCCGACGTTATGTCTTGCTTTGGAGTAATCGTCTTGTAAAAAAATATTGCCTTTTCTGTCAGATGCTATAGAAATCTAATCCCGAATCAATAATCAGATGGCTTAAGAGGAAACTACAGAAACTGTACTGGTATTATTAATGTTATTGTTACAAATAATCAGTTCGTGTAAGAGAAAACTACAGAAACTGTACTGGTATTATTAATGTTATTGTTACAAATAATCAGTTCGTGTAAGAGAAATCTACAGAAACTGTAATGGTATTATTAATTTTATTGTTACAAATAATCAGTTCGTGTAAGAGAAAGCTACAGAAACTGTACTGGTATTATTAATGTTATTGTTACAAATAATCAGTTCGTGTAAGAGAAATCTACAGAAACTCTACTGGTATTATTAATTTTAAATAGTACAGTTTCTGTAGTTTTCTCTTACACGAACCGATTATTTGTAACAATAAAATTAATAATAATAGTACATTTTCTGTAGTTTTCTCTTACACGAACTGATTATTTGTAACAATAAAATTAATAATACCAATACAAAAATGTACTGGTATTATTAATTTTATTGTTACAATAATCGATACAGTGAGGAACACTGCAGCAATTCCACTTTATTTTTACTATTAGTTATAAAAATGTTCAATTCATTTTTTTACTTGTAGTTAGTTGTAAAAATTCGTGTTTATTATTGTAGTTAGTTGTAAAAATTCGTGTTCATTATTGTAGTTAGTTATAAAAATTCGTGTTTATTATTGTAGTTAGTTGTAAAAATTCGTGTTTATTATTGTAGTTAGTTGTAAAAAATCGTGTTTACTGTTGTAGTTAGTTGTAAAAATTCGTGTTTATTATTGTAGTTAGTTGTACAAAAATAGTGTTTATTGTTGTAGTTAGTTGTAAAAATTCGTGTTTACTGTTGTAGTTAGTTGTAAAAATTCGTGTTTATTATTGTAGTTAGTTGTAAAAATTCGTGTTTATTATTGTAGTTAGTTGTAAAAATTCGTGTTTATTATTGTAGTTAGTTGTACAAAAATAGTGTTTATTGTTGTAGTTAGTTGAAAAAAAATTCATGTTTATTGTTTAAGTTGGAAATATTTTTGATCCGAGTGATTTCTTACTTTAGTTAGACAATGAAAATCACCGCGATTTATTTATACAAATTTTACGACTAGTGAGCTTGGTTATGTAATATTCACTATCACCACTAATTTAATACGTTAAATGAACAATTTTTCGCTCATATTAGTTGACTGGTCTGATTTAATTTGTAGGAGAAAATATATAGTTTTGACCTGGAAACGAACTTAACTTTTTAAACTATTCACAGATTTACCAAAGCTCACACTCACACTTCTAAAAAGTGACGATTCTGTTAAGGAAGGGGATAATGTTGGTTTTGAGTGCAACGTTAAAGCAAATCCTATGGTTTCCGAAATCAGCTGGCGATTTAATGGAAAACGTTTCGTCAGCAATCCTAACAAAGGGATAATTATCAACAATCACACCTTAGAGCTCGAGCTGGTCAAGAGGGATACGGCTGGACGATATCGATGCGAGGCAACAAACGTAGAGGGCCAAGGCATCAGTGAAGAAGTCATTTTAAGAATAAACCGTAAGTCCGCCAAGAGAACCATCTCGAATTTGTTTGTTTTTTGTTGTTGTTTTTTTCAGTAAAAGGAGCTCATAATACTTTTAACTGATTGGATACATAATATGTGCCATGCCTGCTATGGAAGTAAGCTGATAAAAGTATCTTGAATAAATCTTTCCTTGATTCTTATCTTCAGTTTAATTACCGCTAGAAACCGGGTTTCGATGCCAGTGGTAGGCAGAGAAGAGATAGCCCTTTGTGTAGCTTTGTGCTTGATTCCAAGCAACATCAGGTTGATGTTACAACACGAAAAAATTGTATTCTATTCTTCGAATTGTTACTTCATGAAGTCTAGCAAGTGTCCACCAAAACTGTGTTATGTTGTGTATATTGTAAACCTAATATTGTATTACCAACCTACTGAATATTTTTATTGTATTACCAACCTACTGAATA